AGTTCTCCTAGTGTAGGGGTCATGGAGGCTGAGTTTTTCATGGTCCTTCAATCCTTTGGACTAATTATATCCATGCAGCTTTGATTGCCTCATTCGTCTTTGCTTTCAGTGTGAAGAGATCACAGTTCTAATTTGAGGCCTGTTTTCAGGCTTTTCAGACCCTAGTCAGCAGCACCACAGAATTTTGATCTCAGTTTTTACTTCCTGTCTGGATAATCAGTGACACCTGACCATCGAGTCTTATTCTGGCAATGTAGTCCAAGTGCATAGAGACAAAGGGGATCAAAAACATTTCACTATATTTACTCCAGTATTAGGTCAGTGGTGCTGGGGGGAATCTGGTAACTTCAAAAATAACAAGAGCTAATTGATATCATCTATTTGGTGGGTAATTAACAGAGTTGGAATTGACTAGAAGGCAACTGCCAACAACAACAGCAACAACCCCTTTGAATCCCTTCATTTAATAAAACTCTATGCGGTCTTGAGGATTCTGATGAAATGGCTTTGGGCTGTCTCTCTCTAAGCTTCACAAGATGTTCTAGACAAATTCCCCGCTGTCTCTCATTCTTAGCAATATCGTAATAAGACCATACAGCAGGTGACACATGGCTTTACAAGAACCTTAAAGACTCCCATGTGAGTCTATATAATAGACTCCTCTTCTTCTATGCAAATGAAGAAAGGACACCTTCATGCATGCACTCTTGTCTCGTCCCCAGTACTCAGATGCTGTGAAGGGTGCTGGGTATATGATGGTCTTCCGAGAGGTGAGAGTCACAGCCTGTCCTCTCTTTATCTTTGCATAAAGGGCACTAAAGGGAAATATTTTTAGAATCCAGAATGGTAAAAAAAAATTAAGCCAAGTAGCATAAGAAATTTCTGACAGGGTTGGAGACATCTCTGTGGTCAGTGAAGTGACGTGGAACTAGACTAGTCTGGTTCAAATTAGAATAATAACAATTCCAGATGAACATACCAAGACTGTAGTAGTAAATAAAAAATAAATGACGCTGAGGGAGGGTGGGGGAATCAGCCCCCACCCGCTGATTACTCCTACGAGTTCAGTAATACTACTTCTGGGTTCAGTAATGCACAATTGTACGGTTGAGATATATAAG